TATTTTTCACCTCGAAACTCATACAGAACGCCAGCTGCATTTTCTCTTCAGACAATACTGCAGTTTTTTTTTTTTGTTTTGTAGACGACAGGCGGCGCAATCGCCCAGCTTTGCAAAAAAAAAGGAAAATAGACATTTCTACATGTCGAAAGCAAGACAAGAGAGCAATAAGAATCGTACGAATTTTGTGGTCATTCTCTAGAATAAATGCATGACTATTTGTTTATTTGGTTAAAAATGCTTTTTTTCTTTGTTCATACTCGTATGTATGTATGTACGTTTGTGCCAGTGGTAAGTACAATGCACTTTCAAAATTTTCACTCAGCTTTTTTCGCTTGTCCAATTGCGCTTGCTTTCAAAGTTAGCTGCTCTGCTGGCATAATGCCTTCTACATACATACATATGTATGTACATGGCGGCCGTTCATTGGTTTACATACTATTTGCACATCTACGAGTTGCACAAGTATTTTCGTTGCTGCTGTTCTATTCCTGTGCGGCACAAAAATTTTTATTAGCTTTAAAAGTGTAATTTCATATTTTTAATTCGCTTTTACTTTTACTCTGCGGTTTTTGTTTTTGATGGGAAAGTAATGTTCGAGCGGTGTACACTCATGGTTGCCGTCAGACAAATTTCCATAGAATTTTCTATTTGTAAATAAAGGCGTAAGCGAACAACTGTGCTGACTCAAAGCCAAAATAATTGCTCTTCCATTACGATTTTTTTTCCTAAATAAATTGCAATTGTTGTTGGAAAATTGGTTGGAATCTGTAGTCAAATTTTTTTTATTGGTGCTCAAAATATTATATTGACAGGAAAGAAGGAATAAATATTTGGTTTTCATATTTTTTTAAATGTTGTCGTGGCTTACGGTTTATTTACAACAAGAATATGTAGAATTATGTAAATTCATTACCAAATTATTACTCACAAAATGGTCTTTATCGATAGCAAAAATATTGTTATCGTTTATGTAAATGTAAAGCGATATATGTGAAAGAAAGCTACTGTTTTTTTTTTACTTTTCATTTTCCCAAGATATTTTCTTTTTAAGTATGCATTGCGAATGAAAAAAAATCACACTTTAACATGGAAAATGTTACTCATACGCCATGTACGATTAAGCTCGAATTGGGCCATGTACGATGTGGCGTATGAGTAACATTATTTTTTGCTTCTATTTCATAAAAAATTTTTGCAAATGTTAATTTGGTCATTCAAAACTTGTTTATTTTTCCATCGATTTTCATCGTTAGTAGCTTAATATTTTGGCAAAAGAAAATGCCTTAGAAGTGGTTCCATGAAGAAATTAACGGTATTCTTAAATTTTTATATGAGAATTGAAGTCGGTCTTGTTTTTCGCTTAAAAATTCCTCGCTTGAAATCAAAAAATATTTCGAGGCCGCACTGTAGGCAAAACACGATTTTTTTTTCAAAATCGTAGATCTTCGGTTAGAAAAGAGATAATGAAATGAAATAAAAATAAAACAAGTAAGAAAGTCTAAGTTCGAGCGGAGCCGAACATTAAATACCCGGCGCAGGTACTAAGTATATGATTTTCACCTTTCCGAAACCTACCGCTAGATGGTAAGCCGGGGTGTATAAATTTTGAGTAAATTAGCGTCCTTAAATTTCGAAATATTGCAGTTTCAAGCATTTCTGAAATTTACCGTTATATGAAAATCGGCCGTAATTTTAGTCCGATTTCAACAATTTTCAACGGTTTTCTTTTATGTAGCAAGCACAATAACCATACCAAGTTTGGTACAAATTGGTAGAACGGTTACCGAGATACATATATGTGATCATAAGTGGGCGGTGCCACGCCCATTTTCCAAAACTTTATCATATACGTATTTCCTGGTAAATAATTGTTGCAAGCATCAATTTTGAGTAAATTAGCTTTAATATATATTGATTTATCTAAGATTTCGTATTTCTCCAAATTACCCTTATATGGGAGGTAGGCGTGGTTATTGTCCGATTTTAAAACTTTTTGGCCATTTTGTATGCTGTAGTAAGACTAACAACTGTGCCAAGTTTGGAAGAAATTGGTGCAGCGGTTACCAAGATATACACATGTAACCATAAGTGGGCGTGGCTACGCCCATTTTCCAAAAATTTATAATATTCTTAGTTTTTGTCTAAAAATTGTTGTAAATATCAATTTTGAGTGAATAATCTTCAGTAGTTACTAAAATATCGCAGTTTTCGTATTTCTGAAAATTACCGTTATATGGGAGGTAGGCGTGGTTATTGTCCGATTTTGCCTATTTTCAATACCATCCGTCCTACGCCGGAAGGAAGTTCACATACCAAGTTTCGTTAAGATATCTCAATTTTTACTCGAGTTATCGTGTGCACAGACGGACGGACGGACGGACGGACGGACAGACAGTCACCGCTTAATCGATTTCTCTTTTCATTCTGATCATTTATGTATACATTTGTCTATATCTATCTCGATTCGTTTTGCCTGTTACAAACAACCGTTATGTGAACGAAGTTATAATACCCTTGTGCACAAGTGGCTCGGGTATAAATAAAAATAAATAAATAAAAAGCACGTTCAAAAGCATATTGAGAACCTTTTTCCTCTGCCTTGAAAGGGTTAAAAAGCGGTTAAGTTATTGTTGTTGTAACTTCTCTATAGTTTTCCTACACTATATGATCATTTTATCTCTTTTCTAAGCGAAGATCTACGATTTTGAAAAAAAAATCATGTTTTGCTGTTTGCTGTTTGTTTGAAAAAAAATAATTTTCCTATATTTTTCAATCGGCAAGCTCTATTTCTCACCAGGAGATTTCAATTGTTTATATTTTATGGGCCGCCAAAAATCACAAAAATTGTAATGGGGCCCCATAAAAACCGTTGATATTAACTTTATTGGTTTATAATTGGTTTAATAAACATTTGGGTATTATTCTTATTAAAAATCTGACTTTAATTATCTCACAAAGTTTTTTTTGTACCACCCTAATATGCGTATGGCTCAATCCATGTCAAATAGATTAATGGTTGAAATCGACGATTTTAGATTTGGACGAATTTTGGTCAGAACTTTTTCATCATATAACGAAATTCTGCCAAGGAAAAAACAATAAGAATGTTTTTGAAAGCTCAAATTTTCACAGTTTACAAAACAAAAATAGTAAAAAAGATATAAAAAATTACAGAATTTTGAAATTTTAAAAATCTTAAAAGCAAAAACTTTTAAAAATTTTTGGGAAAATTTGTTTCATACAATATCTTTAACTGGTCAAAAAAGATCCTGCTATTTTTTAGTAGATGGGTTTTTAAGATATGGATTTTTGAACTTTGGAAAAAAAAATTCAAACTCTAAATTTAATATAAATTTAAATTAAATAAAAGGTCTTTAACATAACTTTATTCAGATTTTGTAAAAAAAAATTAAGTTGAAAAGTTCATATGTTTAAAAAACACTTTCAAAAATTTAGGATCTTTTAGCAAAAGTTTTTTTAACTTCTAATATATATACATATATTATGGCGACGGTTTAATGGGAGTATTGGGAACCGAAATCTTTTTGAAGTATTGGGTACCCACAGTTTAGCGCATCACTAACGTTCTGGTGAGCGAGCAGTAGGGGGCCCAAGGCAGCAATTTCTTTACCCAATATCAGAATTCTCCACCAGAAGTTTAACTTCCTTACATGGTTTTTGCTACACAATTTTTTTCACTAATTATTTCGTAGCAAAAATTTATTCAATTGTGATATTTTAGGAAACACTTGTTATGTTAATAAAAAAATATTTTCCATCTTTATTCGCTTTCGTTGCGAATTATAAGATTTTCCCCATAAGAAAAATTGTTTTACTGTGCTAATTATTTTTTATCGGGCTTTTAACGAACTCGCAAGATACTATTCAAAAGAGCCAAGTCACTTGAACACACGCAAAATACCTCAGTTTGTAATTTGATGACTTAATATTGTACCTATGTACATAGATGTGCACAACAATTAACTCAAGGTAATGACAAAATGTAATGTATGCAATTAAAAACAAATAAAGCTACTCAAATTAGATTAGGGGTATTCACGATCCGGTGCATATTTACTGTCTAGCTTGGTGCATAGATAGCATAAATAGCATGACTGGCTAATTTTGTTGTTGTTTGAACACATGAAACAACAAAAATCATGCTATTTATGCACCATGCTAGACAGTATGCACCGGATCTTGAATACCCCATATTATTGACATTAGCATTGCCTATGCATAGTAGGGTGGTAGGGTAAAATATAAACATCGCACGCTCCCCTTTATTTTGGTCTACATAAAAAATAAAGACATACGCGAAAATTTTTAATTTTAAAGAAAACTTTTAGGTGCTGCTACCAGGGCTTGAAAAAATTTAATTTTTTTAATCGCGAAAATTCGAAAAAGCTTTTACTTTGGCCAGCTATAACTTAGCCAGTTTATGAATTAATATGAATAAGTTTCAATACTATGTCAAATTATTCATATAAAAATTGTGTCGAATTTTTTTGCGATTTTAACTAAAATTTTAAATTTTTTAAACCATGTTAGCGACTCCTAGCTTTTTTTTATTGTTTTATTTTCGTGGATGTTTTTACTTTGTACTTAGATGTGGTTCTGTCTTTTATTTAAGATTTCATCGAATTTTCGCGATTTAAAAAAATTTATAAATTTTGACTATAACTTAGCGTTTTTTTGTTTCAATAGTATGTAAAACTTATCAGTTTTTCAAGTAACAATTTTTTAAAGTTGTTGCAAAAAAAAAATAAAATCTTCAAACTCTTTTTTTCGATTTTTTTTCAATTATTAAAAATTCGTGGAAGCCTTTATTTTGTACGTAAAACAAAGTGAAATGGGGGTCCCATACAAAATTCAAACATTAATATTTTTAAGGATCACCCTAATGCATAGGCTGGTTGACAGTTATTTTTTTCTATTATTCTTTAGCTAAAACAAAGAGTAAGTCTTTTATTCACTTAAATATTTTAATGTCTTACCTTCGAGAGATACGAGTTAATCCAATTGGTAAATGTCTTCTTTTGCACACGTTCTTGCTCCTCTGTAATATAGAAGAAAAAAATGTATATGAGTAACTCAATTGGTATATACATTTGTTTATACATATTAAAAACTGATGATATATAGAATACTAAAGATTACATATGTCTCATGCAGTATGTTAAGAAATATCTACAAAACTTCATCAAAGTTTATAAAGAATTTCGTAGAATACCTCTTTTTGATTTGCCCCGATAAGTTATCGCTTCGAGCCATTCCTTATCTTGGTCATTAAAATATTTGACTGTTTATAGTTCTCATATAAAAATAAAAGTGATATAGTATTTTACTTGGAATACGTAGTTATGAAGACTGGTATGCATGGATGAAAAGCGGCAAGGTGTACTAAATATTTACTTATGCACTTACATATCTAATTCGTATCTTTTGCACTGAATCACTATACATTTAGCATAGTGAATACACCAAGCTAACTGTATAAATTTAACCTTTACCTGTGATACGACCTTATGTACACTCGAATCTGGTGCGAAAGATTTTTTAACATTGGCGCATAAATCTTGATTTGACGCTAACCTCAAAACATATGTTAATTGTGGTGAAATATTGCTATCCTATTCCACCATTCCTTCATGTGTTTGATTTGTTTCAAATTTTTAGGGTTGATGGATAAACATGAATAATAAATAAGTATGAAATTTGAGTTTGATTAATACATTTTTAAAAACTTTACATTACAAAAACAAATCGATTTAATAGTTTCCCAAATATCTCGAGAACGGGGCGAGGAAGAAATTAATATTGCGCAACACTCAGAGCTACCATTGTGATTTATTTTAATTTTATTTTTTTTTTGAGATGGCATATTTTCAAACCCTAATTTTTTTTATCAAACAATTTGTATGTGAAAAATTTTTCTAGAAGAAATATTTAAAAAATATTTCTTTTCTTAGAGAATTTTGATGTGTGTATGTATGATTTTTTTTCAAATTTTTTCCTCGCCCCGTTTTCGAGATATTGGGAAAACTATTAAATCAATTTGTTTTTGTTTTTGTGCTGTAAAGCTTTTAAAAATGTATTAATCAAGCTCAAATTTCTTATTTATTTATTATTTATGTTTTTCCATCAACCCTAAAAATTTGAAACAAATCAAACACATGAAGTGTGAACCCCGTCCATTTTGGTATGGAACCCCGTCCATGTACATTAGAGTGGTCTAAAAACACACAGAAAATTAGCTTTTTGGAATTTTACCGCTGCCACCACCAGAACTGAAGAATATCGAAAATAAGGATGCCCCTATTTTTATATGCCAGTCAGTCTGCAAGAGAAGAGAGGCTGCTGCATGCAGGTTAAGAGCTCCGTCACATTGCAGCTTCGTTGCTTCCCGCTTGAAAAACGCTGCATAAATCATTCAACCGAAAACAAAGACTGAGTTAGCCACATCCCACTTTGAGGTCTAATTTGGAGGCATCAGTGCATTTAGGATACATATCCAAGGCTAGCTTCCCTTCCAACTTGACCCTCCTAGGGGAGGTCTTGTGTGAAAATAACTCTTCATAATAACGGGAGATACCGTTTAATCCGGTCTGGACACCTAAAACTTGCCGAAAGTTCTTCCAAAGCCCACTTTATCAATGCGTTTAAAGTTAGGTACTGCTTTACAATTTGCCTGCAGTTTCACAGAAAAGTTCACAGGTAAAAAGTGAACTAGGTTTATGCACGATTTTCGGCATTGAGGTAGATCCGCTGTGATTATCATAAAGGCCACCCTTTAAGCCTGGGTTAGTTTGTTCCTTATTATAGACGTATCCACGGATGACCACCACGATGTTATGCCGTAGAACCAAATGGGACGTCAAGCTATATTTTTCTCTATATCCCGCAGTTTTGCATTGGAAAAACTGCCTGATTTGGAAAAATTATAAAAAAAATCGCCAGGAGGCATAGCTGTATTTTACTTTTTTATTAACTTAAATAAAATCGCCCTTGTTTTTTTTTATTATTGTGGCATTAAATGCTACCCTTTCAATGCCCTCTTTTTAGTGTTTCTTCGAAAAGGGCAATGAAATTGTAAGTATGTGTTTAGAAAAGAAAATGCAGATACTGCCAAATTATAGGAAGTAGCCTTCCAATATTTACAAGAGAGGTTAAAGTTCAAAAGAAAATCAGCAATAAAAAATACGCATTGCTTATCAAACCAAGATTTTTTAAAACCATTCAGATTTCACTTGCAATAATCTGAAATACATATAGGCAAAAACAGATGACAGTAGTTTACTAAATACTAATTTTTGCTCGCTGAATCCGAATTCCATTATTTTTTTTTCCTAATTAGCTAGAGCTTGGGAAATACTACGAAATTGCCTTATTTTCAGTTGGAAAATTTTGGAAATCCTTTTTTTTTTGTCACAACATGCAAACCATAGCAAACGCTTTGTGCTACATAGTCAAGCAAAAGTATTGGTAAAAATTTTACGCATATGTAATTCAACAAAATATATTTTTCATCAAAAGCACGAATTTTTCCGAAAAATTTGCAGAATTATTTAATTAAAAAAATGAATGATTTTGACCCCACTTTCTAAAATATGCTGAAATTCATATATCTGAATTTCGATTTTAAATTAGTATTAATTTTGAACGGAATCATATTTGGCAAACACATACATACATACAAGGCAAAAAAATATCGATGCAACTGTAGATTACAAAATCCATTCCACATACATAATTAAAGTGGCAAAAAAAAATCAACGTAATGTTTCAAAGAGTCACGGTGGAATGTAAAAAATTGTGGATCATGTCACAAGTGTCCACATTTTTGCGCTATGGGGTTGGGGTTGTGGTGTTTAGGACATTTTCAAAAAAATTTCCCGATTTTGCGTCACACAAATATGACAGGCCTATGGCAACTCGTTCCAAAGCAAAAATATTGGGGGTGTTCACACCCATGATAAAAACATTACAAGGTAAAATCATTCTCCCAATTAAAAAAAAAGTAATTGTTCACGATTGTTGTTTGAAATTTAATAGAATAGAATAGTATAAAAATTCATACTTCTACAAAACACTCTTCACTTTTCAAGTACAAAAGTTTGCTAAGAATTTGCAAACACCTGAAAATGTATGCAAACATTTAGAATCGCAATTTTATCATGATAACAAGCATACATGTGTATGTCTATACCAAGCGACACTAATTCAAGTGCATATTTTCAGGTTTCCTGCACGTCACTTCAACCGTTTACATTATCATGAGTGATGATAAAATTAATTATGGCTGCGATAACTTATCTTAGGTATTTATAGTTTTAATGCAGCAGAAAAATGTACTTGAAGAATAACAAGAAAATATGTATTTACTTTGCACAAAGAGATATGCCTAATCATAGAATACGACGTTGAAGTATAGCATTTACATATAGTACATGGTATAAAGGTCTGCCCGATGAAATATATTAAAGCAATAATATATGTATACAGCAAAACTGCGTTCATTGCGATTATTTAAGCTATACCTCCATAAACTTCATTTAATAAGGGTATGAATGGTGTACTCTAAATTACTGTTAAATCTATATAGACATATCATGACATACCATCAAAAATTGGGTTCATTCGATATCGGTGCTGCAATCGGAGCCGTGGAGGCCATTTGAAAATGATGTTGTATTCAAAACGTTTACTGCACATTGAATAAAAAAAGTTTGAATTTCCTCAACAGCTAGTTTTTTTTTAAGAAATCATCGAACGCCTAATGCGAAACACTTTATAAGTACAAATTTAACTATCCGAAAAGTAGGATGTGGCCAGGGTAGTCCGGCCCACCGTTTCGCACGCCACAACTTGCATTTGATATGTTTGGCCATAGAAAAAATAATAGGTATATAATATATATAGACTAACGGCTGTGGTAAATTCGGCGCCATCGACCGACTAGCAAGTGGTCATGGTCTATTGGCAACCGGTGACTGGCAAGTGAATGTGTTGAGCAAACAAGATGAGTTAATAAAAATAAAATGGAAATTAAAGTTGCAAAAAAACAACTAAAAAAAAAATAGCATACAAAAATTTGGCAAAATCCCAAAATGCAACTGGATACTAATGTTTTGGCATTATAACGTTTCTTTGATTTTACAACAACAAAACGCGTGCTAGTGTAGACTGCTACGTAACAACTTTGTATTAAGTTCAGCTAGAAATTTAATTGAGTCAATCAACCTTTTAATAAATTTTACTTTTTTTGTACATTTATCTACTTTTAGGTAACAGTTTTCTGCAAATTGCGTACAATTCCAAAATTCAATTTTCCATCCCTGATGAAATATCAGCTGTAAAAGAGGGCCAGAAACAAACAGCTGATTGCTATTTGTTCAATAAACATGCCTTAAAGTCAAAATTAAACATACCCAGCAGGGTTGCATGAAAAAACTCATTCAGTTAAGTACTAATCAAGCAATTAAAAATTAAAATTTTGTATGGAAAGTCGAGCTAAATTAGCGCCTTAAACGTGAAAGCTTAGCTAATTGCTCGATAAGCGGTCTACACCTAAAACGCTGCAAATCGTGAACTCCCCTATTGGTTTCATATGTATGTAAATGCGTCTGCATGAAATTGGTTTCAGGAAATCTACTTTTCAGGGCAATTCTGGCTAAGATAGTAAAAAGTCTTTTGTAAGATAAATAAAAATAAATGACAAAATAGTTCAAAGACTTTTGTTATTCTAGCACAATAGTCTTAGTAAAATGCCGTCTCATTCACCACTTGTGGTGAAAAGCAATTTTGGGCAGCGCCAACAGTCGCAATAACCGAGTGTGCAAAGCACTGGGCTGCCATTTGAGAGATGCAGGTTCGAGTTCTTGGGGAGCGGTTTTTTTATTTTATTTTTTTCAATATTATTATATTTTTAAAAGCAAATCTTTATCTTTTTTCTTAAATTTCATTTTTTATTTATTTAATTTTAATTTTTTTTTAGAATTTGTATTAAAAATAATTTTTTTTTTTTAATTTATGTAATTTTTAGGAACTTATTTCCTT